AACTATCTAAATCTAAGCAAATTTTCTTTCCTTTTTTTTTTCACTTGATTTGCTTAGATCAGAATCCAAAAAAGGTTCATCCCCTTCCCCCCAATCCCTTGCAATTTATTGTTGAAGAAACCAGGTCATTTGTCCTGTAGAGGGTTCCATGGTCTGGATTTTTCTGAGTATCCCAGTGATGTCATTTGATATATTCTTCTGTAATTTGATTTTTTAAATTTTTTTTTTTTGTGGTGGTGAGGATAGAACCCAGGGTTTTACACATCCTACGCAAGTGCTCTACCACTGAGTCACACCCTCAGTCTGCTATATTTCTTAACTACCAATTTATAGAAAATATAGGAATTTATTTCCTACATTTAAATTACCTATTTTAAATTATACTTTCTGTATTTAAATTTATTTCCTATAAATTGCTACTTACATCTAGAGACTTGATCAAATTCAGGTTCAGTTCTCCAGCAAGAATCCTTCCTAGGTGGCCTTGTACTTCCCTCAGAGGCAGCAAATACCTGGTTTCTTTTTGTGGTGTTAATAGCCTGGATCATTGCCTAGACCTATTATTTGACTGATACTTTATGATTTTTTTTCCCCTTTGTACCAGGGATTGAACCCAGGGGCGCTTTACCCTGAGCCACATCCCCAGCCCTTTAAAAAAAAAAAAAAAGTTTATGTAGAGACAGGGCCTCACTCAGTTGCTGAGGCTGGCTTTGAACTTGTGATCTTCCTGCTTCAGCCTCCTGAGCTGCTGGTATTAGAGGCATGTGTCACAACGCCTGGCAGTACCTAATGAATTTTAAGAAATGAATGTGACTTCAATGGTTGTCTTGAGTATATATGCAGAAAAGCACTTCTTGGAAAGTGTATTGTTTGTTATTTTCCAGAAGTAAGTTTGCCCTGGTGGATTACAGTAGGGGGCACCTTTGGGAACCCCGCCCAGCCTGGGGCACTGTGTGCTCTGGTTGGGTGCTATAGCTGTTCTTCCCCACTAGAGGACACTATGGCTACAGGACTTCCCGTGGCTCCTGGCCAGTCATGCTCCTAGTACCTTAGGAGGCAGTCTTTGGTGTACATTTATGAAGCATCAACTATGTGCTTCTTATATCAAGGAAGGAGATAAAAGAAGTCAAATACAAGGCCCTGTGGCATTGTTTCCCAAAGGTAATTTATTTGTGTGGCCCTTAAAAAAAAACAAACAAAAAAAACCTGGGTATAGCTCAGTGGTACCACACTTGCCTAGCATGCTTGAGAGCCTGTGTTTGATTCCTAGCACTGAAAAAAAAAAATCAGATAAATAAAAACCCACATAGAGGAGTGTCATCTGTTGGAAACTATTTTAGTCCCCACAGGGTGGCTGCCTCCTGCTATAAACTGCAAATTTGGTTACCTGGTTGGGTTTTTTTTTTCTTTTTCAACTGCCATATATGGTCTTTTTGGAATGTGAATATATCTAAGAAATATGCCAAAGTGTGTTCATCTCTGAAATGATTTATTCATTTATTCACACCATGGATGGTGTATCCAGAGGGGAAAGGAAGGGAGATGATGCCTCCTGAGAACCACTCTGGATCAGGCACTATTCCATCCTTCTTACCTACATCCTAGCAAAATGGATACTATGAAGCTCATTTAAATCCAAGGAAACATGGTATTGGGGTGTAGCATAGTGGTAAAGCACTTGCCTAGCTTGTACACAGCCTTGGGTTTGATCCCCAGCAATACAAACTTTTTTTTTTTTAAATGAACAAATAAATCCAAGGAAACAGAGACCCCCTGAGGTTAACCACCTTGCTGAAGGCTGTCCTGACATCAGTGAAAGTCTGAATGAATAAAGGTGTACATTTCCCACTCAACCCTTTGATACCACACTGACATGATACAGAGAAAGAGAGGTGTTACAAAGCCACCCTGTCCTTAAGAAGTTCATGATATAACACTAAGTGACAATCAACAGATGAATGATTAGCAGATGACTCCTAATAAGTGACCACCCTTGCAACACGCCTCTATGTGGCCTCTCTGGCTGCTTGCTGTGATTCTGGCCTCCAGCACAGGGAAGCCACCATCCACTAGTAAAAGGGTATCCCAGAGGCTCTGCTTGTAATGATATCTTCATGTGGACAGCCCTCTGACCTTCACCCCATCTCCCTGATGACCACGGCTTTGGGGAGCATCACTCATCAATAGTGATTGAAGCTATGATCACTCTCCCACCTGCAGTAGGCAGCAAAGCCAAAATAGACATAATCTCTATTACTCAAAATCTGTAACTGAATGAGGACAAATGCAATAAGTTCTTGAAAAATCTGTGCTAATGTTGGGCATAATTTTAAATGCCTTCCTGGTTTTTCATATTTTCAGACCCACTCACCCTCTCACAGCCTCATCCCTACTGCCCCCTGGGTCAGCCCTGGCAGCACAACTGAAGCCATATCATCAGAGCCCAAGCTGTGTTATTTATAAAATCTCATCAGTTAACATGAAGAAGAGAGAATGTCAGCTGGCAGTGGAGAGAACGAATTGAATGGTTTAAGTTGGGAAAGATACAGGTGGCAGGTGCCTAAAGCAGCTAAGCTGCAAGCATTTTGAAGAGGCCCAACCCAAATGCCCCTTCTGCTTTGGGCAATCAGTGGTAAGGTTCTGGGAAGGGAGGATAAGCGTGGGTGTGCTCCAAGCCACCAATCTCCTTCAAAGGAGCCTCGGATAATGAATGAGCCATCCACCAGCGCCTTTGCTCTCTGATGAAAGGACCTCCCCCTGCAGACCGTCACTCTGCAAATACAATTGTGCCCCAGAAACCATCTGGCAAACATGCCTATTTCTTTGGTGTTTCTGGTATTTCCCTGACTTGTGGCCCCTTTTTTCTTAGATATAAATTGTCACAGCAAGCCAAGCCAGCAGAATGCTTACGGACGCTTCCTAGGCTTTCCCTGAGCTAAGTTAACCCTGTGGCTCGCTGCCTGTGGGGCTGCTCACAGCTAAGGATGTCTTGGAGGCGTGCATCTCCCCTCTCTGCTGTTCTTGTGTCTTTGGAGTGTGCAGAGCCAGGCATATGATGAGCTGCAGACCAGAGCTGCAGCCACCAGATCGAGAAGCAGGGGAAAACGCATTTCCGTTGCAGGACGTCCTTCACGGAGAAGGGACAGGTTAACTCCATCGCTCTGCAGAGGACTTGGACAGCTCCCCAAGGAGCCACAACAGGCTGCCACAGCTGTAGGGAGATCATGTGCTCTGGCAGCACAGGGGAGGATGCCCAGCAAATCGAAACTGCCCAAGGCAGTCTCTGGACCCCATTTTATACAAAACCCCCTTCTCTCTCTGATCTGGCTTGATGATGTGCAAGGCTGGAGAATTGTGGGTCACCTTGGGGCCATTCGAGCCATGCTCCTAATTCCAGTCTGCTTCCCTATTTCTAATTCAGAGAAGAGATAAAGGCAAGAGACGGAAAAGGAGACTTCTTATTCAAGTCATCATCTCCTTGGTGATGTGCTTCATGGACAGGGAGGCCACATTGAGACAACAATCCTAACCCCCCTCAGCCACAACCCAGAGAGTACTGGCTTACTTAGGGGTAGGGGGGGTAGGAAGCAGTTAATGCAAAGACTCCCAGAATGTCACTATCACCCTAACGACGGGCAGTTCCTATGCAGATTCACACCTTCCTGCCTTAGTACATGCAGTTCCTTCTGTCTTGAATACATCAAGCCTCATCCACTTGGCAAACTCCTACATGGTCTCTTAAGATTCAGTTCCAGCATCACCTACTTGGACACTTTTTTGCTGCCACATGATGTTGCCTACTCAGTACCTATCACAAGTACCTGCAGGTTTTTGTTGTTGTTGTTGTTGTTTGTTTTGTTTTTTTCACAGCATGGCTTTCCAACCTGACACTTGTAGCTCACTGAGGGCAGAGGTATGTCTCATAGCTCTCTCTGAAGGCTCAGTCTGTAAAGATGTTTATCAGCAGTATCTGGGAAGAGAAAACCACAGATCCTAGGTTAGAGATGGATTCTCCTGCAGAATCTTAGAGTCCCTCTCACTTTTGCAAAAGACAAAACAGATGGGGCTGGGGTTGTGGCTCAGTGGTACAGCACTAGTCTAACTCATGCAAGGCCCTGGTGTAAGGCCCTGGATTTGATCCTCAGCACCACATAAAAATAAATAAACAAAATAAAGGTATTGTGTCCAACTACAACTAAAAACTAAATATTAAAAAAAAAAAAAAAAAACCCTAAGACAGGAAACTGTGCCTATCCCAGAATTCACAAGGCTAAATAGTAGCAGAGCTCAGACAGACCCAGGTCTGCTGACCCCTTGACGTGCTGTCAGGTATCAAGGAATCACTTCCTGAGCTCTGTTTCCCATGTCCCGCCTGGGAACAAGGGCTGAAGGGCTGATGGGTAATGAACAGGCTTCTGGGCCAACACAGGAGGGATAAGGTTTAGAGGGAGTGCAAGTGAATTTCAGAGCTGGGAGGCATGTCACAGATTATCTAGTCCAACCTCTGCATTTACAGATGAGACAATGGAAGCCCGCAGTATGGCAGGGTGGGGGTGGGGATGAAGGGATTGCCCAAGGTTGCACAGCAAGCTGGCGATGGAACTAAGCTGAGGACACAGGCCTCCTAATTTCTAGGGTGGTTGAGCCCCCACCCCCACAACCAGCTGCTATACGAGGGACAGATCCCTGGAGCCTTTGGATCCTCTAGGCTTTTCTTTCCCTCCTGGTGGCACAACACTTAAGTAGGGTGCATTCTGCATAAATAATAATGAACGCTTCCCTTCCAGGGAGGACGGCGTCTGGGCAGGCCGTGTGACAGATGGTATTTACAATGTGCACTGAGAAGTTCTCCCACAGCCTCACTGGGGCTGTGTGGCTGAGAGATGGAGGAAGCCCATTTGAGTGCCCACTGTCTCACTCCTCTGCCTGATAGGACCAGGCAGCTGCTGCTACTGTTCTGGCTGCTGCTGCATTTCTGTTCAGGGCCATTTCCCTGGTGTTAGTCACATTTTGCCACACTGAATGTGAAGCTCCAGGATGTCTTGCTACTGTGGCCTCTGCTGTTTCCTCATGGCCAGAAAGCCTGACTCAGGAACCCCAGGCCATTCTCCCAGCTGCCTTCCCCAGAGCAGGAGCTGGGTTGGATCCACTGGGGAGACTTCTCAGGGATGATGACCTCTGGAAGGCCTTCCTTAGGCCTGGAGAAGTATTAGCAGGAAAGACTCATTCATTGGACCTTTGGGGGACTTTCTAGGTGTCAGAAATCACTCTAGGAATCAAAGACACTCCTATAAACAAGCAAGCCAAGCCCTTGCTCTTGTGAACAGTACATTCTAATGTAAAGGTTGACTTAACTACACTTGGTCCTCTCAGATTCTTGCTGGGTCTTTCCCTCTACAAAGTCTATTGGACATACTGGTGCCTGGCTTTGTGCAGCAGCAAATGAAAGCAAGCCAACCCCTCTTCTAGGAACACTACCCACATCACCTAAGAAAAATAAAGCAGCTGGGTACAGGGGCACACATGTGTAATCCCAGCTATCTGAGAAGCTGAGGCAGGAGGATTGTGAGCTTGAGGCCCATCTGGGCAATATAATAAGATTCTGTCTCTGATTTAAAAAAAAAACACAAACAGAAACAAAGTAGATAAGTAGATGGGTCTTAGTTTTTGCCCCAAAGCCAGGGGCAGCTCCCAGAATTTCTGATTCATGCAAGCCTAAAGAAGGACCAGCCCTGTCTGGGATCTTTGATTTAGCCCCATCCCCTTGCCTTGGGGGAAGTCTGCAGGAAGTGGTCAGGGCCAATGGCAGAATACCTCTCTAGCGGAGTGGGGGTTCAGCCTTAAAATAAGAATTTGGTGAGAAGAATGGAGATCAAACTTCCTCTGGACCCAGGAATTTTAGTCTCCCCTCCCCGACCCCAATATAAAATGGAAGCAGTGTATCCATTCTGAGGGCCTTTTTGAGGATGAAATGAAATGACAAACATAGAAGTATTTGAAATAAATGCAACAGCATGCAAGTGTACCGTTATTATTATGCAGAACCATCTTTTCTCCATAACATAAAACTTGCCTTTTGTTGGGGTTTTGAGAGTAATAACTATGTAATTAGACTTCATGTCATATCAAGAGAGGCATGCTCTGTTTTTCATTAAATAGACATTTGTTTGGCTTCCACAGCGAGCAGTGTTGTGCACTGTGATGGATGCAAAATTGAATGAGCCATCATCCTCCCCTTCAAAGAATGCACATTCCGGTATCAAGAAGATAAAATTTGGATAATGTAATGCAAGGTCAAAAGAAAAAAAGTGATTCAGAGGAAGGAGGGGTCCATCTGGGTTGGAGAGTTGAGTAAAGGTTTGATGGGAGAGAAAGCATTCACCAGAGAGATGCACAAGATGGGACGGGATGTTCACTGAACAGACAAGGATCTCCTATTGCATAATCAAAAGTTATACAGCAATACTGCAGGTCCAAGGAGGATCCAGGAATGGATCCCTGGGGACCAGTCAAGCCCCACTGAGGTGGCTGGGAAGGAAGGCAAGACCTGAAGAAGTAGCATCAGAGTTTCCTGAAGGTGTGATTGGCTGCATCTTGGGACTGGGAAAGTTTCCTCTGTGCTTTTCTGAGCTCAGCTTTTAAGTGCCCACACCTCTCTTTGAAAGGGTATGGTGTCTGTGAACCTGGACATCTTTCAGTAATGATTTAAGTAACTCAGAAAATTGGAGTGAAAGAAAGAGACGAAAGGAAAGGGGAAAAAAAATCCGCTTAGCCACCTTGTTCTGTTTGATCTGGCAGACAGCGGGCAACCACGGAAGAAGGCTGGAGATGGGGATGGAGGGTGGGTGGATTCCACGTGGCGGTCTCCTCCCTGAGCTCTGTCTGCTGTTTGGACTTGCAGACTTCAAACATGACTGGGGGATTCCTGGAAGACAAAAGAATTCGGGGCCGAGGCTTGGATCTCAGTCAAAAATAACTTATGTCTTCATCTCCGGCAGGCAAACAGCGGCAGCTCAGGGCTGGTTTGCCAGTTTCTCAGAAGATGGGAGCTACAGGTGGGGAGAGGGTCAGCTTAGGTTTACTTTAGAGAGAGAAGGAGCTGCAGAGGGTGTGGGCCTGGCTAGGGGAAATGGGAGAGTGGGAAACCATTGAAGAAGAGACCCAGCAGAGTCACCCTGTTGACCCACCACCCCGCCTTTCTAGGCACCTCCATTTACTTTGAGCGATAATTACAGCTTTTAATGTTCCTTCCCTGGCTTCTCATTAGCTTAAGGTATCCACAAACAAACTGCTGGCTCCCCTCACCCCTCCTCTTCCCGTGCCTAACACATCCTCCTGGCTTCTCAAGGGCAGCTGCATTGTTAGCTCCCAGGTTCAGAACATCAGCTGCTCCCTGAACATCATCTGAGGGTGCATTCCCTCTCCACTGCCTTCCCTGTTATCCCACTGGGCTGCAATTAGAGGGTTATCTAACTTTCTCCCAGGAGGCCAGGGCTTGGGTTCCCAGCACCTTTGCCAGACCCTGGCCAACCATGGACACTCACAGTATGTCATTGCATGGCACTGTGGGCTGCTGCCAGCTTCATCTTCCTAAAATGCTACTCTATTTAGAAGCCATCCCTGCTTCCCCAGCCTCTTCAGACTGGCCCACAAGGATGTCCGCCACATGTCTTCGTCATGTGCCTGGCCATGCTTACTTTGTGCCCAGCCACTTCATGGTTCCCCACACGATCAACATCTTTTCGATCTCTGCTACAGTGGTTCCCTCTACCCAGAAACCCTTCCATAATCCCCACCCCAAAGCTGCCCCGTCTTTTGAGGTTCATCTCAACAGCTCTTCTGAATGGAGTTGAATTCCTTGGCATCTGAACCCCTCTTTCCCAATGTAAAGTCCGGATATTGAAGAGGCCTATGGATTACAGCCTTGGTTCCCAGGAGGGTGCTCTTGGGAAGTGTGGGATCTTTAAGAGCTGAGGCCTAAAGATCTTGGAGATCTGGGAGATCTTTAGGTCTCTGGGGGTTTGCCCTAGAAGGGGATTGTGGAACTGTACTCTTTTCCTCTTCCTTTCCTTTTCTTCCTGGTCACGAGGTAAACCAGTTTTGGTGGGCTACATCCTCCTGCCATGTTGTGCTGCCTCACCACAGCATGGATCATGGACTGAAACCTCCAAAACGGTGAGCTGGGAACTTTTAAAAGAGTTCCTGGGTGTGGACTGCTGACAAAATGAAGAGCAGGGTATATGCCTTGTTTGCTGTCATCTCTCCCTACACCCCAAGAGTCCTGCCAGGGCAGGTGTGTGTAGCATATCCCCTGGCATCTATTAATGCCTAGCCCATGGCAGGTCTCAAGTGAAAGGGAGACACCATGACCATTCCTTCCCCTTGAGCAGAAGGTCCTTGTCCTTCAGCTGTGTTAGGCTAGAATAGGATAAAAGCTAGCAATCTAAGATACTCCATGGCCACTCCCATCCCTTGAGGTTTCTAGGTCTTGGGTCCCAGACCCCATGTCCCATTGTCTGCTGGGAAGCTGGCTGTAGTTGATTGCGGAGTCCCCTGGGACTGAGGTGAAGCTGGTGTGGCTGAAGCAATGTTAAGGACATCAGGCGAGAGATTATTGGGCATCGCAATTCATCCCAATAATCTCCAAGTCCAGATGGCTATTCTCCTTCAAGCCGGAGCCAGGGAGAAGAGAGAGATCTGCTAAAGGGAGAAATCTGGTGAAAGGCTGAAATTCTTTCTTAGGAGACTTTTGGGAATACTGCCAGTAGGAGACAACTGCTTCAGGGGAGAGAAGGAGGAACCAGATACCCCTCTGAATACCTCTCAGATCCTTACTTTGCCCTTTCATCTAACCGCTGCTGATCTTATGACCCTGCGGTGGATGGTACTACTCCTGTCCCCATGCTTAGATCAAACTTCTTATTGAACTACAGCTAGAGGGGGGGTCTTTTATTTTTTGAAACAGGGTCTTGCTCTTTTGCTCAGGCTGGTCTCTAACGACTGGGCTCAAAATCATGCTCCTGCCTCAGCCTCCCAAGTAGCTGGGAGTACAGCTGAGCACCACCTGCACTCCACCAGGAGGGACATTTTTAAATGTTACTCTCATATTCATAATCCTTCAGTGACTCCTGGTTGCCCTTAGGGTGAAGGGCTTTTCTCAGGAAACTCACAGCCCTTCACAACCCTCTCCAGGCTGACTCTTTACATTGAACATCTTGGTCTTATTTTAAACCAGGACAAATGGCTTGCAGTTCCCCTCGTATGGCATACCACCTCTCATTTCAACCCTTGGCTCATGCTGTTGCTTCTGCCTGGAATGCCTCCTCTTCACCTTCCCACACATTGCCTGGATCTGGGGGGCATATCCTTTGAGAAGATTTCCTGGATCCACATGAACCTTCCCCTTTGGTTTCTGTATCCTCTGGATTCCCCTGGAATCCAGGACTTATCCTAGTATTGAGCATGACTGTTGTCCTGAATTAAACCATTTCTGGTGGACAGGGTCTGGGTCTTATTTATCTCTTACTCCTAAAGCTCTATCACTAGAACTTAGTAGAAACTCAATAAATGTTCAGGAGTTTAACTGAGACTGCTAAAGTTCCTTGCACCTGAGGGAATGGCAGGATTAGATTAGATGTCCCTGGGCTGGAGAAGAGACAGAATTCAAGGAGCAGCTGGAGTCCATACTTCAGGGTTTCTGGGTATCTTAGCAGAGTAGCCAACTCCTCTGTGTGTCCTCTCCTGCAAGTTCCCCTGGAACCAGGCTTCCTGGCTCACTTCTCCAGGCCCCAAAGATCTGAGTGTAACAGAGTCAGCACCCAAGTCATGCAAATGACAGCATGGAGTGAGAGAGGCAGGGACACTGACCTCAGGGTCCCCAGTAGATGCTTATCCTTCTGGGCTTCTTTCCACAAAGAAGCCAGCTCCTCTTCTGTCCCCTGAAGGCTGTTTTCAAAATCACACTCCATGCAGACAGTTTTATTTACAAGGAAATCTTGGCAGGATCTTGACTTGTTAGTAGAGTAGAGATTGGGGGAGGGTGGTGAGAAACAAAAATAGTTGAAATGATCACACTTTCTGAAACTGAGATGAAAATTGGTGTCTGTAGCAAACTCACCTAATTAGAAAGGAGTTCATTTCCTTCTCTGTGTTTTAAGGGGAGCAGTCATTGCTGGATGAGCTGGTCACAGGTGGGATCCTGGGACTGGAGTTATGGGTTTGCCTTAGGAAGATGAGAGCATTAATTGCAACTTGCAGAGCCTCAGTTTTGGAGATGAAGGCAGAGGGGCAAAGGCCAGTGAGTGAGTGGGTAGTTGGAAGAGGCTTAGAAGGGCACAGACTTGGTGCAGGCTCGCTTCTACTGGGAGATATCACCAGGAAAGAGCCCTTGAGTCTTCCAGGGAGAGCTGGGCACCTGTTCCAGCTGGCCACTGCCACCAGTTTCAGACAGAGCCTCTGCTTAGCCTATGTTTCCCATAGGGAAACAGCCCCAGGTCCTCCCCACTTAAAAGATCTTTTACTCTTGCTAACTTCATTCCTGCTTTTTAGTTTATTTTCTTCCTTCCCTGGACTCAATGTGGTTAAACGAAGTCTGGGCAGAGTCCTATAGTTCTGAGTGTAGGGAGCTCAAGGTTTAAGGTTTGAAGTCTCAGGGCCTCTCTTATCTGACAACTCCCATCCATAGGCGTCCCTGGACCTCCCAGCATCTGGGACCCTCATGAACAGAGGTAGTTGAGGGGGCGTCCAGTTATCACAGCATCCCTCCCCCAATTCATTCCTTGTTAACCCTGACGTTGCCAAATTAGTGTAAATCTCGCTTCTACCTCCGTCACATATCTGTTGCCTCCAAATTATCATTAACCAGGTGAGGGAGATGAACCCCGGCTCCAAGAGAAGGCTGCTGTTCACGGGCCAGGGGAGAGCGCAGTCCCCATCCCCACCCTGGGCCATGCAGCCACTTCCCCGCCAACACCGCTGCAGCTCTCCCTCCTCCCGGGGCC